GGAGGAAGGGTGACACATGTCAACAACCAACTGCCCGAAGTCAGTAGCGACATTATGTCGAGCAGCTTGTGAGCATGGCATTGGATTAGCTTTATCAATGGACTTCTCATCAAGCATTTGCACACCTGTAATGGAAGCATCTCCAATACCACCTATTGTGAGGATATTGTTATTCCATACAAGAGTTCCAACACGAGATATATGAATTTCTTTCAGTGTTCTCAAAAGTTGAGCTGCTTCTAGGACACTATGGAAAACAGCATGATTCTGTGCAATGGATGGGAAGACCAGATCTTGTAGAGTTGCTCCATTGGACAAAGCAGTAGTTCCGCCAACATAAGAGGCATTTGCAGCAGATTCTCCAGCTTCTGAGGTAGCATCAACGACTTTGGCAGCCATGAGCGGGATCAGGTTGAGCGGATTGAGAGACGGAGTCCAAGAAGTGTATTCGTCCGGTGTCAAATCATGATCAGCATTGGAACGAATGGTGCACCCTTCGTCATCGTTCATATCCGAATTTGAATCTGTATGGGTTTCCGATTGCTCTATTTCATCTTCGGAACTGCACTCGCTAACCAATCCTCTGTTTCGGAGAGGCTGATTCGGAGAAGTAGGATTCTTCTCATCGCCTATTTCATAAAAGGGGTTCTCGGTGGCTTCAACTGCGGAGTCAGGCGTGGGATCGCGATAGTTGAGCGGGGGAGGTCTGTGTTCATGCGGAGTGTTAATTGCGGAAACAACCGTCGGCGATGGCGGTGGAGCGTTGGACGTGGGTCGCTCGTGGGAGTTGGTCTGATCAAAAACAGTGGCGGAACCGCACGATCCTAAGTTGGAGCAGATTTGTCCTTGGATGGAATGATCGTGAGAGACGGGAGGCGAATGATGCTGGGACGGATACAAATCGCTGAAGACGGCCCCGGGATGGTTGTGAACTGCACGATCGGGCGAAGAATCTGGCCATCGCATCGGACGATCGAGCGGCGGGTATTTTGGTGGCGGGTCACGCCATAGGAGAGGGAGCTCGAACGGAGGGTAATCGTGGCGTGGCTGACGGCGTCTGCGT